TGCATGACACCAACATACCATGTTCTGCCAGTGTAGTGGGGCTTCTCAGGGGTATCCAACATGGTTCCATCAGCTATTGTTGGATTCCCATCAGCCCAAGTCAGCCAGGGGTGATTGGAGATAAGAGTTCAACAATATCTGGAGGGCATTGCATTGGCTACGCCTACTGCAGTCCCTCAGCGAGTGTATCTTGAGTACTGGATTGCACCCTTACTGTATTGGCTATTACCGTATTTTTTCGCACGATTGGACGCACCGGACCATAGGACGCACCTAGTTTTATGGGGGGGAAATAAAGGAAAAAATTTTCCCCTTTATTTCCCCCCCAAAAGCAGGTCAGGGAAACCGAACCAGGTCGAGGAACAGCGGGATAGTGGCGCTGCGCCTCCCTGCTGTCCCCCGAGCTTGTGGGGCTGGCTGATGTCTGCCTAGCGTGCGGGGCGCTCTGCTTCAGGGCGCCCCACCCGCCGGGCGGCAGGCTGCTATCCGCAGCTTGGGGAGCCTTGCGGGGAACTGCTGCAGGGCTCCCCACGCTGCGGATGTATGCCTGGCGCGAGGGGCGCTCTGCTTCAGGGCGCCCCACCCGCCGGGCGGCAGGCTGCTATCCGCAGCTTGGGGAGCCTTGCGGGGAACTGCTGCAGGGCTCCCCACGCTGCGGATGTATGCCTGGCGCGAGGGGCGCTCTGCTTCAGGGCGCCCCACCCGCCGGGCGGCAGGCTGCTATCCGCAGCTTGGGGAGCCTTGCGGGGAACTGCTGCAGGGCTCCCCATGCTGCGGATGTATGCCTGGCGCGAGGGGCGCTCTGCTTCAGGGCGCCCCACCCGCCGGGCGGCAGGCTGCTATCCGCAGCGTGGGGAGCCTTGCGGGGAACTCCTGCAAGGCTCTCCACGCTGCGGATACGTTCCCGAAGCGCCGGGCACTCTGCTTTCAGGGCGCCCGACGCTCCGGGAAGCAGGTTGCTATCCGCAGCGTGGGGAGCCCTGTGGGGAACTGCTGCAGGGCTCCGCACGCTGCGGATGTCTGCCCGGCGCGAGGGGCGTTCTGCTTCAGGGCGCCCCTCGCGCTGGGCGGCAGGCTGCTATCCGCAGCGTGGGGAGCCCTGTGGGGAACTGCTGCAGGGCTCCGCACGCTGCGGATGTATGCCTGGCGCGAGGGGCGCTCTGCTTCAGGGCACTCTACCCGCCGGGCGGCAGGCTGCTATCCGCAGCGTGGGGAGCCTTGCGGGGAACTGCTGCAGGGCTCTGCACGCTGCGGATGTCTGCCCGGCGCGAGGGGTGCTCTGCTTCAGGGCGGCACTCGCGCCGGGCGGCAGGCTGCTATCCGCAGCGTGGGGAGCCTTGCGGGGAACTCCTGCAAGGGTCCCCACGCTGCGGATGTGTTACCGAAGCGCCGGGCGCTCTGCTTTCAGGGTGCCCGACGCTCTGGGAAGCAGGCTGCTATCCGCAGCCTAGACACGGCTAGCGGAGCGCTAATCCCGAAGCTTGGGGCGTGCGGAGCTCAGCGCGCCCCAAGCTTCGGGATTAATGCAGCGCTCCGCTAGCCATGGGAGAGCTGGGTCTCCCACAGCTAGCGGATAGCTTCCTGAAGCCTGGAGAGCGAGAGGGGTCGGTGCGCACCGACCCCTCTCACTCTCCAGGCTTCAGTGAAAGCCTGCATTCGCTCCATAGGACGCACACACATTTTCCCTTGCTTTTTAGGAGGGAAAAAGTGCGTCCTATGGTGCGAAAAATACGGTATCTAGTAGCCTATATCTACTGCATTTTAGGATATATTACCTATAGAGGCTATTATGAGTTTGGATATTACTTTTCAGACCAAAAAATAAAATTAGTGAACTGGATTCTGGTCCACAACAGCACATGCCATAATAAATTTGTTTAGCCACAGAACTCTAGTTGTTTTAGCATAGTCCTTGGTATCTTCCCTTTCAACTTAAGTATATCAGGGTGGGGAAAACTTTAAGCTCCAGCCCAGCACCATTAGTAGAATTACTTTCTCCTGGTTGGCAACCTAGGAGTTCAGGCAATCATCCTCTGCTCCCCTTGAAAATAGATTAGGAGACACAACAGCCAAATATGAGAAGCACAAATACCAAGACACTTAACTGGAACTGAATATATTGGGGCGGGGGGGGGGGGGAGAGGGAGAGAGAAGCTTTCAAGCTTTTCTCAAGTGATGGTGGGAGTATCTCGCTGTTCATTTCCTTTTAATCTTTGTCAGGTTCATAAAATACCTAGGCAAAAGGTAATGTTTGTAGTCAGCCAGCTAGCACAAAAATGTTGCCGATTAGCACCTTGACTGCAGCCAAGGTCTGATGTACTTGGGACCCAGTGTGATGGGTTGCTGTAAATCCCTGCTGTAAAACATAACAGCATTTGAAAATAAAAGCTGCAGTGTGTGTTTTGAACTCGGGTAAGTTTCGGAGTGATACTCTCATTGTAATAACCTTCAGCATATTTTTCTTTTCATCTATTCTGTATTAAATTATTGTTTCATAGTATTGTCATAATGCATATATGTTGAAATGCTGTATTATAGTGGCCTGTCATATAAGTATCATTGCTTTGGAATTGTCGGCACCCAACAGTTTTGGATCCCCAGTTAGTTGCCTAATATTGGAGAGTCCTGGCAGGTATATATTATCTTGCCACTTGAAATAAAGAAACCATGGCTATTTCCTCACAAGAGTATTTTACTCTGCTGTGCTTTGATTGTCACCAACCTCTCTTTTTCCCCCTTTCGCCCCCTTTTCTTTTCTTTTCTTTTCTGTTAATGAGATGGTAGACCTGCCCCTTTCTTAAGGCCTGATAGCCAGTACTAGTGCTTTATAGCTTCCTGAGACTGAAAAGGCTGGAGATAAAGGAAGTCCTTTTGCAACTGGCTTCATGTTGTGGCTTTTATTTGAAGAGAATGTCTCTAGAGAATTGCTTGCAAACAAAAGCAATTTAGTAAGAGTGAGCAGGCATCTTTTGTAAGACACTGCTTAGCTTTTCCTTTTTAGCTCAAAGAAGAAGTTAAAATGGAACAGTTTTGCCCTGTTCACCGATTGAAATTAATGCTAAGTTTATTCACCTTTTGGCATAGGGCCATTTCCTTCTCATCAAGGGGTAATTGCTACGTGTATGAATCTCAATTGCATTGTCTCTAATTCAATGGAACTTGGAAAACACAACTAAGAACTTGTACTCCCTTTTACATTAAAGGTCAAGAAGAGCATCACAGTCTTTACAGTGGGAGAGACTTGGGAGTTTTATGCTTCTTTCTTTGTTTTTGACACTTGCTATTTGCCTGGCCATATGAACATGGAGTTTGTATTGGCTAATAGGTTGTAGAAACATTTGTGGAATCATTTAATGCTTCTCAAGGTGGTAATCAATAAACTGGAGTCATTAACTACTGGTGTAATAGCAGTTGCAATTATGTACTCCTGTTTCCTGGTCACTCAGTGTATTTTGTTTTCAATAACATTTTCCCATTCACTACTGTCACTACTGGCTGATGGTAATTTAGATGCAATCACTGTTGTCCAAAGTAGTGTTGTATTTATTCAAAAATTGAATTCCATTATTTCATGTTCAGTATTTGAACCTTTCATTACCAAAGGAAGCCAAACGAGTCTATCAATAAACGTAATAAAACAAATACAATAAAATCAAATATGAAACAATATTAAAAATTGTCCATAAATAAAAATGCTGTTAATAACTGATAAAAAGGATTAAAAATAACTATTTGATTAATAAGCATAATACAAAGTTCACACTTTCTCTGCAACAGAAATATTTCAATAAGCAAGAAAATAATAAAATGCATGACACGTACTTGAGTCAACAGTGCAATATGCCAATAATATTAGGGTCACTGTTAAAGCAAACACTACCATCCCAGAATGAATAGGAACCCAAAGGGGACTGTTGTGAAACACTTAACCAGTGTCTGAAAAGGCCAAAAAGCCAAATTTTTAGACCTTCTGAATACTCAGAGACTCTACTGGGTCAAAGATGACCAAACTCTCAGAACTGAATATGCCTCTCTGTCACTTGGAAGTCTAAATGGAGCACTTGTGAAAGGCTAGATGGCAACTTGTCAGGGATTCTGTAGCAGGGATTCCTACATTCCTGGGGGTTGGACTAGATGACCCTTGGAGTCCCTTCTAACTCTGAAATTCTGTGATGGCATCATTCTGTAACAGTACAAGAAGCTGAGAGCAAGTATGCCTCTTAAAGAAAATTCCTCTCCATAGGTTATAACAGAACCTTGGGAGGCTTTATCGTTTTTGTGATTTTATTCATTTCCTCCTATTAATGTGCCTTTTGTTATGCTAATTTGGGACCCGGGCTAGATGTTGTGTTCCTACCTCCAGTCTCAGGTTTAGAGTTCTTACTCAGCTGATGTGACATCCTGCTTAGAAACATTTAAAACATGTATAAAGCAAACATGTATAAAACATGTGTAAAGGCAGACCAACACTTGGCAGTGACTAGACTGGCTAGAGAGCTATGCTATGGCAGGGCACAGGAGTGAGTTTCCTTCCTCTCTGAAATGCCTGTTCCCTTTTCTCACCTGTCAGGGTCCCACCACTGATCTGTTCATAAGCAATTGACATGAAAGGATTAGCCCTGCAAGCATGGCGTGAAATGAAACCATAAGGAAACATATGGGCTGCATTACCCATTCCTTCCTTTCCTCTTCTCCCCACTAGACTGAAAGCTACGAAATACCAAGCACAAGCAGACTGCTGAGATGGGGAGAGCATAACAATTAAAACTATTGTCCTACTATATCTTAACTCTGTCTTCCATTACAGATTTTGATTTCCCTGAATCACTTATATAAGGGAAGAGGGAGGAGGCTGTTGCAGAAACTGATCAGATATGTGCATGGTAGTAATAGGGGTTGATTTTGAAAAGAATGAACTGTGGTTCAGAGAAATAATGTATTCTACATCTTCCTTTCTGTCTATCTGGCCACAAAATGAGATTTTCCCTTCAATTTTACAGTGTCAAAAAAACACGGCAAGCTTATTACTTTCCTGCGCACATTCATGAAGTCTCGGCCAACAAAACAGAAACTGAAGCAACGTGGGATCTTAAAAGAGAGGGTATTTGGCTGCGACCTTGGAGAACATCTTCTCAACTCTGGTCATGATGGTAAGTAAGAAGAATGTTATGCTTTGGCTCAAGAGTGTCCTGCAATGCAAATTCTAAAAGAACAATTTGGATCTGACCAGCATTACTTTTCTTTGAGTCGTTACAATGCTCCACCTATAGCATCTACCCCTTCATTCTTCTTAAGAAAGTGCAGTCTAAGATTTCCATGCAGTTAAGACATAATATTTGTCCTGCCTTGGCACCCAGCACTTCTGTAATATCACAGTTTGATGTGTTACATAGAGTATATGAGAGTGAATTTATTATTTTGACATCAGTCAGAGATTATTCACAGAAGCAGGTTGTCCTCATGGTGATGATTTAAGAAAGAATCAGGCCAGTCATTTTCCCCAGGAGTTAAGGGCATCTGAACAGTAGCCAAGGATGAAATGTCGCCTCCCTGATGCATTGTTATTGCTGTTTTAATTTTTCAAGAAAAATACTTGGAATAAATAATAATCTGGGCAACTGAATGACATCACACATCAAAGTCCATCTTGTTATATCTTCCAACTTTTGCTTAGGAGGTGATGGCAAAAGGGCAAAAATCTGAGTTTGCTGTAGCTGTACTTTGACATTTGAATGGATAAGAAGACTAGAGCCACAGACAGCTAGAATTAAAGGCTCAACAGGGACCAAAAGGTTATCTGATCCAAATTGCTGTACTGTGGCAGAATCCTTCCTTCCCGGAGCAGAGTTTGAGAAGAAGCATGTGCAGTTCTTCCCTCAGCAACTTGCCTTGGGATAACTGTTGATTATCCCAGGCGGGTAAACACATAATTCATTGCACCTCTCTTATAAATCCAGGAGCATATTGAAGTACTATAGTCTATAATGAAATTGATAGGTCTCAGTTCTGCCTGAGACTGGACAATCTGTTAATAATCCACATTTGGTCCGTTAACAGTCCAAACATTTTCAAAACATTTGAGTGTGTACTGCTCTAGTTATACTGACTTCAGCCTGCAGAGAAAGATTCAGGAGAAGAAGCATTGTGTATTGCTGCTTCTTGGGTGTTTTCTGTAGTGTCTTGATGGTGCTTCTGTTCTTTATGGCTTCTTCCTTTTGGAAGCTAAGCACTTCAGTATAAAATCACCCAGTTAAAGATTACATCATCCATTGAAACATGTGCTTTGCTTCAGTCCTGAGTATTAATAATATTTGTGTCAATACTTATACAATTAGCATGTTACATTGCTGCTTGGTGATCTCATACCCCTGGGAGCTTTGCAGTGTATTTGCAGTTCCTTGGGCTTTTCTTGTAACTCATTACCTGCTTGCATTTCAGTTTGTGTTTCAAGTGCTTAATTGGATGAAGACCTACACCATGACAGGCACTAAAATTTGCCAAGATATTTTTTGCTGAACCTTAAATGGCAGGGCACAGTTTGTAGCATTGCATAAATTTTGCACTTTGTTTTTTCCCTTGACACTGTGTCAGAATCCAGGACATGAGTCATATGTTTCTCAAAGTTTCTATTGGAAAGGTGATAGTTCACATGTATCAAATTGATTTGGGTGGGCATGGGTGCAATGTTGTAATGTCAGCATTGATTATATAACACCAGGAAACCCAAGCAACTCTAGGAGAAAGCATGCACAGACTGGCAATGTTCTAGGATTGGTAGTGAGACTGGATGATCCTAGGAGCAAATGAAATGCAGCATGACAAATGTGCTTGTCTGAAAGCGCCCTTGTGAATTATTACTTGAATTTTGGAGCCTCATTTGTAGGGGAAGAAAATGAGTCAATTCAGAACTCTGCAAAAGTGAGAGGGAACTGGATTTTAGAACACCATGGGCAGAATTTCAGGCCAGGCTATTGCATCTTCTGAGAGAGCTCCTGTATGTTACTCCCATACCCTGTCCGTAACAGTTATTTTCACTTTAATGGATTATTGAAGACTTGAATACTGTAGTAAGAAGGATTGCTGAGATTATCTTCTAAACTGCACCATGTTGGCTTGGTAGCTGTCTCTTTGTCATTCTGTGAAATGCCATGTAAATGGAGATTTGGCTGCCCAAACTATTTAGGTAGCTATAGCCAAACAGAAAGACGCAGCTCCACTTTTCCTTTCTACCCACTCTGCACGTAGCAAAGTATCGTAACAAATAATTGTGGAGTTAAAAAGCCACCTAGATCAAGATAGGCGGTCAATGGATTGGATTCAAATGCTGTCCAGATTGCCCAAAACATCACCATCACAGAGCAAACAGCTTAAAGTAACTGAGGCAACATGTTTGGATGTGGCTGTTTGGGGAGACAGGCCGCTCTGGGAGTGGTCATGTCAAAAGTGCAGCGTCTTCACATAAGCGCAGGATCATTGCAGTATAGCACGACATGCCACTGGCTGGGAAACTCAGGCTGTAACGTATCAAATGTGGGTGGAATCTACAAGGGTGCCATGAAATACCTGTGGCACAGTCTTAATGTAATTTTGTCTCACGCTGGAAATTATGTTGGGAGAACAAGAACTTCACTTCAGTAGACTTGGGTTATTAAATACCAGCTTTGCTTTCCATTCTAACAACTTGGTGATTAAGCTGTGCATTAGTTGTTTCCTTGAATCATATTGATCAATATTTATTTGAAATAGTTGCAGTATTTTGGTTTCTTTAGCTTTGAACATCATTTCCTTACCCTGTGCTGAATAAACACTTGGAAACAAACCAAGACTCCTTGAGGAGTAGCGCTTCGTCATTCAGCTGGGGTTACCAATTTGTTCTGCTTTGCTGCCACCTGCCATGCTTGGTGGTTTTATAGTGTGCAACCTCTGTCAGCATATTGTAGCCCCTGACTAGGTTGGGGTCTCTTTACATTCCCCTTGTTGGTAGCTGGTGTTGGCAGCAGCTCACCTCAGAATTACTGCTTCCATTGGCCTAGTTAAACAGCTCTTTGCCCAAAAGAAACTGGTGAGAATCTTTTAGCATCACCTACAAATGGAAAGCAGCTTCATTGTTTACTGCTTTGTGTTGCGATAATAATTCTGTATTGCATCATCTCTGTGCATGTTCATTGGCTCCCATTGGGAATTAGATGTGATGCTTTCTTTTCTATTCTGAAATTGATAGGAATTGTTGATATATGTTTTTAGTAAGCACAGAGGACAAAACGCTTGACAGGAAACTCTTGTTCTTTAATTTACTTTAAACATTTACCTGCTTATGCCCCTTTCCCCCTATTTATGTAAAACAACTGCAAAAACAGCTTCACAGCATATGGAAAAGTGTGTTGTTAATGACCCAGAAGAAAACTATTAATTGGGTAATTCTTTATTCTGTGAAAGGAAGGCATTATGTGGTTCAAAGCCCATATGCATGCAGTTGTGATAAGGTAAATTTAAGCAATGTATTAGGAAGATTTAAGCAATGTTAAAGGATTGTCTTCAAAAGATATACAGTCTGTATTTACAAAGCATTCCAGCCTTTGAATGGATTTTACTTATACTAATATTATTTCTGTTACAATTTAGAAGCCTTAAACATACATGGCATAGTGGTAATTCACTGAGTCATTTTGGATTTTACAAACTCATTTCAGCCTTTTCTCTTACAAGATATAATGGCATGGAATCCATAATGTTGCTCTTGCCAGTGATTGCTATAGTTACCTACACTGTTCTTTTAAAACAGTGTGCATTTTAATTCTAAAGGGGGTGGGGCAATCTCTATTAAGCAATAAACCTCTTAGATTTTGTTCTGGTGGAGACTGAAGCAGCAGCATGGAGTTAGGTCTAGAGCAGGTTAAAGATGATCTAAAACCATTTGAAATCATTTGAATGGTAATGTGCCCATTTTAAGTGTCCTAGATTTTGGTAAACTGAAGCCACCTTTCTCATGGTGTTAATAACTATGCAGGGCGACTACCCTAAAACTGCTTTTCTTGCCTTCAAAATTCTTACCTAATTTACTATGAAATTAATCTGACAGATTTCAGTCTAGCTCTAGTTGTATATTTACTTGTACCTTGAGTTTTAATTCTTTTTGGTTCTTTCCTGAGCCTGAATACAGGACCCATCATTCTAAACTTCTTTTAAAAAAAAAAATACAGCGAGGAGCTATGATGTCCAAATTCTTAAATTTTGTCCTAAAGTATATGTTCATTATAGCATTGGGTTTTCTTGAGATGCTGCTGCTTTGGGAATGCTTTTTACTACTGCTTACTGTGAAGTTCATTACAGCGAATGAATACGAATCAATACTCCTAAGACAACAGCATAGATAGTGTCATCTACACTAGGATGGCAGGATGTTCATGAAACACCAACTGGAGGTGACATTTTGGAACAGCATAGAATTTAAACATAACATTCCCTGAAGATGACACAGGCAGTTTTATTCACATAAGCACTTTTAATATCAAGCTTCTGAAATTAAACTGGTTAAGTCTAGGAACTAATTGAAAGAATAGGATGATATTTCATTGTAAACATAAAAAATGCAATACCTGAGTGATAAAATAGAAGCATCTGTGATATTCATCAGCTTTGTGTGAAAATACAGGTTAAGTACAGAGCACAGTCCAAATAAAGTTGACTATTTTAAGTCCTTTTACTCAAAAGCAGCGTTTCTGGCTATCCACCCTTTTCCTTTTCTTTTTTTACATGGACTTAGATTCAAAATGTATTACTACACTTTGCTTTACAGTGATTGTTCCAGTTTTCTAGTGATGATTTAACTTTATGCCGGTGCATGGAATTCAGCTGAGTGGCAGCATTTCAGTATGGCATGGTCCATTAACTGGCCAAATGGCCCTGGCTTGGACATTGTGAAAATGACACTGTTTCAACAGAACTTGGTGGGCAGCCTTGGTCTCCCAGGCTGAACAAATAATTCTTATTCCAGCAATAGACTGAGAACCCCTGGACTCTTAAAATGCAAGAGGCATATCAGTCTCAAAAACAGAGGAGGGAATCTGATCTGAGTAAACTGAAATATTCAGTGTGAGCAGCTAGTTTGCTATTTGGAACATGTTCTTAGGCAGCAGCTGTGCAGTTAAAT